TTATTATACACATGTATTTTATTGCTGTATTTTTGTCTTCTCCATGTTTGCAGGTATGCAGACAGATATAGAATGGATTGTCTTTGTGTGTGTCTGTGTTGTTTTTTATTTTTATTTTTTGCTGTATATCTCATATATCTTCTCTTTTTCAGTCTTTCCCATTACATTTCTCCTTTTTCTTCTTTTTCTTTTCCTTCTTCCCTAAATTTACTTCTTTTAAAAAAAAGTCACTGATGATGAAGAAACTAATATTGAGTTCTGTTTTCTACTGAAGTGGTTTAAAAAAATACTTTCACCTCTTTGACCCAGTCATCATTCCATATGTGGCGGGAGTTTCAGAGAAACTGAGACATTTATTCTCTAAACATGATGTCCCGGTGGCTTTCAAACCCCAAAACACGTTGACATGACAAAGATTAGTTCACCCCAAAAAACAGCCATTTTTGTGAAGAAAAACCGTCCACCATTAAACAGAGGTGGAGGCCTTTATGTCCAGTTGTCCTCCTCCTACAATGCTGTTATTGCAAGTATGACTCAGCCCCCTGTGAGCAAAAGGTGTGAATCAGGGCCCCAACGATACCCAACACAAAGAGGAAAAAAAACAAAAACAAGGGGATGTTGAACCCCGCTTGCACTCACTACATACACATAACAAAACACCAAATAACCACAGCCGAAGCATCCAAACCAACAAGTCAGGTGATGGGGCACATGACCCTCTATAAACAATAAAGCTAATCAAGCCTATTGTTAGGTGATGGCCCTCTTTTGCATGTGACTGACTTCTTTGTCCACCATGTGGAGCCAGTGCTTTTAAGGCTGAGTTCACCTGAAACTCATCAGACTGAAGAAGTCTCTTGGAAGAGAGACAAAACGTTTCACTAAAGAAGAACCCATCCAGAAGACCTACTTATTTTTTTCTTTTTGATTTTTTTTTTTACTTTCACCTCATAGTTAACCATTGGTGGTTTGTGAATATTTTATTATTTCATACAGACGCATAAAACTGCAGCTCCTGCACTTGGATTTGTTGGTGACAGCTATAACAATAGAATTGTGTACTTCTGCGAAAAACAACAAAACTGTTTTAAATGCATCCCACATGGCTAAATTTGTCTGGCCGAGTGCCTAACACTGGACTCAACGCTTGGATGGCGACCCTTTGGTGACCCACATGCCAGGTTTACCAGAGGAGGTCCATGCATGGGCCAGCACCACATAAACCAAACTCCAACTGGACCAGTTCTGGCACGCCATCTTAAAAATTTTCACCTTTGCCAGACCTGGCCCGCATCTGGTTCACTAACCACTTGCCATGCCAGCAGTCAGCCAGCAGTGCCAGCCTGACAATCACCAGATTTATCACGATATAATATTATACTGATTTGCTTGGATGATGATACAATGTTTCTCAATCACAAAGACTGTCATAATACGGTTTTGCTTCAATTCCACTGAATTCACAACTCTGCAATCGATACGATGCAATCCACATTGAGCATATGACGATGATATGAAACAATATCAAGTTTTGCCTTTATATATATGAATCACTCATTTTATCGACGTGAACCGATGTATTGTTACACTCCTACTCAATACCATATATGTTCACACATGTCTGCTATGTGGGATGATGCAAACTCAAACCAACATGTGAATCATCACTAGTCATTTTTAACCCCAATTTTTGGATTTCATTTCAAAAGCAAACTGAATCTGAGGCAACTTCTTTTAATTTCTGTCTGCTAAGAAGAAATACGACTCAGCCACTTTTTCCCACTAAGCTTTGTAGAGGCAGCACCAGTAGAGACTTTGTTGCTCAAGGTTGCAGTTCATTAGAAGCAATGGTTGTCATAATTAGAACCAAGCTTTAAGGAGAAGCAGCAATGAATATTGAAAAGTAAAAGGAAAAGAGATTCTTCAGAAATTCCTCTCATTTCTGCGGAATCAGAATCTGCTACAATAAATCTACAATGCGGTTCATTCACTTTAGTTTATTGAGAAGTGGCTCAAGAATGAAAACTGCTGATTAGCCACATCCCATCAGGTCAGACCTGATTTTTACATTTCATATACCTCTTATCCATGCCTTCACCACTAGGTTGACTGCCTGTTCATTTTCCAATTGATTTTATAAATATTTTACTCGCCTTTAAAGTTTTATTGGTTTGGTTTGACTTTTTAACTACAAAGAAAGCTGATAAATCTTGCAGCCTGATGCTCTTAGTACAGCCGAGAACTAAATTAGAATAGAATAGAATAGAATAGAATAGAATAGAATAGAATAGAATAGAATAGAATAGAA